CTAAGACAAACAAAGACCTCACTGACCCCAAGAATTACCGCCCAATTAGTTTACTAGAGACATTAGGCAAAATTTTTGAAAGAGTCATTAATTCCCGACTAAGGCGGTATCTCGACGACCATGACCTGCTTTCTTCCAAACACTTTGGCTTTCGCTCTCACCGCTCGACTACTGACGCACTGAACCTACTGACTAACTACTGTCTTAACAACAAAGACAGACGACTTAAGACGGTCCTTGTGACCAAAGACGTGGAGCGAGCCTTCGACACGGTCTGGCATGCTGGCTTGAAGTACAAAATCTGCACTAAATTCAATTTTCCCTCATGCACCAAGAAGCTGCTTTGCAGCTTCTTGGATGACCGTAAATTAAAGCTTAAATTTAAAGGCAAAGTTTCCTCTACAATCAATATGCACGCAGGTGTACCTCAAGGCAGCATAATCAGCCCAACACTATACATATTATACACTAATGACCTCCCCGACCCCACCTTCCCTGATTCACTGACGTTACTTTACGCTGACGACTGCACGCACTTACCTAGACACGATTCGCTCGCTGGTGTCGTCCGACGAATCAACGACGAGCTTGACACCGTCTCTCGATGGGAGCACAAATGGCTTATCAAAACTAACTTAACAAAAACAAAAGTCCTCTTTATAAACTCAAGACACAATCCTCCTTACAGGGCATACCTGGATCTCTAGGTCCAAGGTTTGTGCAGTTTCTCGTGGGTGATACACTAGAGAGATTGTTGACACCTCCCCACGACGGACCTGACACGTGGCCCTTGGTGTGCTACTTTGGGTGTAGTCACGCCACACTTTGCCTTAGCTAGTGATTTCAATTACAGGCCAGAGTGCTTGCAATTGAAATCACGACGGCTGGACTCATAAGGGCTCTCGCCCGTCCGGCAGGGTCCCGACCCCGACCGTCCCTAACACACAGAGACTGCTGGGTGCCTTGTGTGCTCCTCTTTTTTGAGACCATTTCCGCATTTTCCACATCCAGTCTTAATTAGCTCTGCTAGCCTCCCTTCTCCCTTCATCATCACCCTACGCTATGACCTGAATCCATGGGACATCAGATCAAATTAGCATACTCTGAGAGAGCCCATCTCTTGTGAGGTGGCTCTCCAGAGAATCTTCACCCTCACCGAGGTGGCAGTCACCCACCTCTACAAAGATCACAATGGCTTCAAAGTGACAGTAGCCTAACCCGAGCAACTGACCCCCTTCCTTTCGGCCGAAGGCCAAAGGAAACTTGCAGATAACGGTTTTTCACCAGTTCCCTCCCCCGAGACGAAGGCGAAATGCACGATCGTGGCTAAAAAAAATCGACAGGACGATCCTCCCACGATCGTGTGAGTCGATCTCAGAGGAGGTTGCCGCCAAGAACAGTGTCACTGTTCTTGATGTTTACAAGCCACCCGAGTCACGGATCGTCAAGATCCGTTTCTCTGCCCCAGAGGAAGCACCGAGGATTCTCTCAAGGGGACTCAGGATGTTTAATACATCGGTCCCAAGTTACACCTTAGAACCAGAGTGCTTTATTCATCTGGAACAATACCTGAACTGCTACAGATACGGTCACAACAAACACACATGCTCACACACACAAAGATGCTCCCGTTGCGCTGGCGAAGGTCACTTCTTCGGCAAGTGCAAAGAGAGCATCAAATGCTGCAACTGCGAGGGATCGCACGTAGCAGTTAGCGGATCCTGCCCAACACGCAAGGAGCTACTAAAAGCAAAACGAACTGAGCTTCGTGAGAACAGAAACACTGCTCCGACATACGCCACAACAGCTGCCACACAACCTATTCAAATTAGCACACCCAGACGACCCACGACCTCCTCAGGGACGACCATGCCAACACTCCCCCAAACCCAAGCATTCACAGCGAACGCAAACCCGAAAATACAAGCCATACTACACGTAAGTCTTATCGCTGCCAAATACAACGCCAAAAAATTCGCAACCATAGTCCCCATCATGTTACAGAAAAACGGCTTCCCCAGCATTGTCGTCCCCGAGGAGATCTTCGAAGACGACAACCTGTACATTCCTGAATACACCACAAACACAGAAACTATGGACAATGAGGTGACAATCACTCACCCAGAGCCTCACTGTTCCACAACACACAGAAACCTCGTTTTGCAACCACAACCCCAACGCAAACCACGAGAAACCGCACAAGCACGCGATACCACAAGGAGCACGGAACAGAAACGCAAACAAACCTCACCACTAAACACGCACAAGAAAGACAAGAAGGATTCCCCGATCCCTCAGCCTCGTCGTCGGGAGATGGATGACACCATCCTCGACGACGATAGTAGCGGCTCCGAGATCGACATCGAAATCGTTCCCGAAGCCGAGGACGAGCTCCATGCCTTTGTGGGCGGAGCCATTGCCATGCTCCCTTGTAGGGGGCCTTTGGGGCAGCACGGAAGTGTCGGGAATTGGTCCGCCGATTCCCAGGAATTCCGCGCTGCGTCCTGCTCGCAAGACTCTCTTCCTGACCTCGAGGAACCGACGGTCGATGCTGGACCACGGAACCGCTATAGGGATCAGGTTACGCCACGCAAGGTAAACCCAGGTCGAATGGGTCTACCCTGAGTGACATGCTAAAGATCGTACAAGCAAATGTAAGGTCTTTTTTCCCTATTCGTAATCTCTTTTACGACTTTCTAGATCAAGAACGCCCAGATGTTGTCCAACTGAATTCTACAGCCATCACGAATGGCTATAGAATTCGGCACTACGGTTACACATCCAGGCAAACAGGAGACGGTTTGTACATGGGGTCCTGTATCCTCATCAAATCCACCATCACCTTCGAATTTATCACCCTTCCATTCACTCACCCTGACTTCATGGCAGTCAGGATATTCACCCCACAGGGCCCCATTATCCTTTCCACTGCCTATATCAGACCCTTAACTAACTTGCCTCTTGCCGATTTCAATCGATTGTTTAATTATACGAACCTCCCAGTCTTCTTTGCCGGAGACATCAACGCCAGACACCAAGCACTACACCACAGATCTACCAACTCGCATGGTAGGCAACTCCTTTCTATCTTTGATACAAAAAGACTACTACATTGGACCCGACTTCTTCACCTCATACACGAACGTGGGAAAGGGCCGCCCTGATCTCGTCTTCGGGAACAGAGCGGCACTCGCCTACCACACACACCTACAAACCATATACCCGTCATAATCAAAATTTCCACCTCACCAATACTTAACAAAGAAGCGATCTTTCCGGTACCAACAAGCAGATTGGGAGTCGTTCAAATCTAAATTAAGTGAAGTTAACTTTCAGTTTAATCTTGATGGGCTTGATTCCCAAACAATAGATGGGCATTGGAATTTCATCTTCGCCCACATCGTATCCACCATGCTGAGTACCATCCCCCGGTCTCAGTATAAGACACGCATCTCATTTCAGCCATCTGAAAGGACAAAACGTCTCCTGACTTGTTTTCGAAATCGTTTCACGCAAAATTTAAACAGGTTAAATCATGTTCGATGGGACTTATCTATCCTCAGAAGACACGTCATCGATAGTCTTGATACCGACCGACAAAATCATTGGCATAATTTGGTTAAAAAAGTAGAGTCTAACAGAGTTCGCAATCCACGGGAATTTTGGCAAAGAATTCGTCAGCTTAAAGGTAGTAACTTCCCCCCTTCTCCCACCTTGTTCAAAATAACGTA